CTATTTTGTAGTTAGTTTTGTTGTACATGACATGCTGTGCAAGTTAGGTTCTGAAACCGATTTTCAATATTTGTTAGACCATTTTTAATTGGATATTATTATTACTTAATAAATAACTTAAGTTGACAGTTAATCAAAATCTGCCTAAAAATTAATTATATAAATCAAACAATATTGCATTTTATATAGTTTTAAAATTAATTCTACAAAATTAATGAAAGATCAATAGTTATTTTTCACTATATCCATTTAAATAAATTGTAATAAAAAAAAAACTAAACTATCGATTAAATCAACGCAATATGTAATTCAGATTTTTTTCATACTTTAATAATTTGGTCATTACTGGTTGTCATATTGGATTTTCACGCTTTTGCAGCTCAATTTTTGTAATTGAGAAATTTCATGTACGCTTAGACTCTGAATTAAATAGTATATCTCTCGGTCTAGTTTCAAACTTTCTTGCAAATATTCTTATTGGTATTGTAATAGTAATAAAAAAAAAAAATCCGACCGACCTACGGGAACTTTGAAAACAAACTTTGTGTGGCCTTATATTATCAATTCATGATTGTATGACTTTTTGAAGTTGTTTTTTAGAATGTCAGTAAACCTTTTGATTAATTTATTTGTTGACAACTGTCTAGAATAAATAATAAACATGATGACTTATCCTTGAATTTTGTTCTATTTCAATTATCAGTATATGAATCTGAGATATAGTATTTGAATTTTTCAGAACCATTCAAGATAATAACCCAACATCACTGAAAGAAATAGTTACTACAAACAACGTAAAGATATTGCAGATTCATGAAGTCTTAGATGGTATATATGAATGTAATATATGAAATTTTGTTGGGGAATCAATTACCGGAATCAGCACGAATTGCAAAAGAATTACAGGCACTACATGGAAGAAACGTAAATGAAAAAAAAGGAAAAAGATTACCTAAAACAAATTTACGACTTACATAAAGGAATACACTTCTTCTATCTTCATTAGAAAAAAAAGTAAATTTAAAAAAAAATCCTTTATAAAATTTAAATTTGATCTAACAGGTTAAATAAAAAAACATTAACGTTAAATTATTTTAATTTAAGCTTGAGCCCAAATGTGAATTTCTAGTTTATAAAGACAAAAAAAAATCAATCACATTGAAGGTAAGCTATATTCGTCATATCGGCTTATTTAAGTTTATTTGTATTGACAAATATTTTCTAAAAAGCCCAGTGTTTAGTGGCCTAACCTAAGCATGGCCCAGCTTAAAAATAAGAGCCCAAAACAAACCCAAGCCCATAAATATCCGGGTTGTTCCGACCATTCTAGATTCAGCACAAGACCAAGGCACTTTTTTCGTATGTTTATTATAGTTTTTTTTTCTTTTTATTTAATGATAAAAAAAAATCTAAAATTATTATGTAAATAAGTTTATAGTTATGCCGTCATTTACATGCTTTGATTGGCTAGGAAACTTCTTAAGGTCATTTTTGAATTGGTTAAGAAGCTTGTTTTCCAAGGTTAAGTATAACTCAAATGTTTTAACAGATTACGTTTTATTCCTTACTATGAAAAGGAAAAGCTTTGTTCAATTATGCAAACTTCAAAATAGACGGAACTTGTATTTACTTTAGTCGGTCTGCAAAATAGTGGCAAGACAGCTTTAATTGATGTAATCGCTGTATGTATTAACTCAATTGAAGTTACGTTACATAGAAAATATCACTAACAATAATATGTGAACGCATAGACTGGTCAAATTAGTGAAAATATACCTACTGTAGGATTTAACATGCGCAAGGTCTCTAAGAGAAATGTTAATATGCAAATATGGGATATGGCGGGACAACCACGTTTTCGTAATATGTGGGAACGTTATTGTAAGAACGTAAATGCAATCGTGTAAGTGACTTACACTTCATTAATTTATGGTCTAGTAGTAAAATTAAAAAAAAATAATAATACTTTGTAAGAAGATTCGTAATTGATTCCACCGATTATGAGAAATTGGAAGCTGCACGAATTGAATTACTCAACCTTTTGGAAAGTCCACTACTCGCAAACATTCCAGTTTTAGTCTTGGGTAATAAAAATGATTTACCAGAAGCTATGCCCGTCGAGAAGATCATTAAAGAATTGTAAGTGTTAGAATGTTTCTAATTTTATCATAGTTTTAAAATTTTTTAGTTATGCTTCTTTATAACTATTAGGAATTTAAAATCCATCACAAATCGTGAAGTTTGTTGCTATTCTGTTTCGGCAAAAAATCAAGTAAATCTTGATATCACTTTGGACTGGTTGATCAAGAAAGGCAAAAGTACCGGGAGTTTCTGCTAGTTATACCTTAATAATAATAAATTATAATTTTCACTTTTATTAAAAATTCTTGTTTTATAAAAAAATTAATCGCATAATTTGAATTTTATTGTCTGCTACATATTCAATAAATATATATTACGTACTTTAAAATAAGAATATTTCAAGGTTATGATCATATAGGTGGGTCTGCAAAATCATGGGATGTTATTGGCATTATCAAAGTATTATATTTTAATGAATAAGAAAACCAATTAAGTATGTACGTCCTCAGGCAAATCACGTCAGGAGGAAAAGAAGAAAAATGATATTTTGTGTTTTACTACATTTAAGTGTATCGTATACCTAAGATTATTTAATTTATGCAGATATCTATAGGTAGGTGGATGAAAAGTCACTTGCATATTTAAATAAATTATCCGAATGATGCATTAGCTTCTGATGATTGTGGAAATGTCTATTATCTGCTATGTCAATATGGAGAATCTCTTGCAGATTTGGATAAATTATTGAATATTAAACCAAATAGCTCTTTTGCACTTAAAGATCGTGTAGATATCTATAAACCATTAAGTAGATATGAAGAATTGCTCAAATATATAGGCTTCAAGGTCATGTTTAAAAGAGATAAAAATCATAAATTTAAATAATTATTAGAAATTAATCCAAATAATTAATAATTACAATACTAATTATCAATCAATATTGAGGTTATACTAATATTTATAGCATAAAAATAATATCCAATATTATGATAGAATATATGCATAATGTCTAATAAACAGTATCTCATGATAATCCTAGGTAAAAAAAGGAAAAATTCTTTTCTTAAAGTTATGTTTGGATTTATTAATAAAGGTACATGTTGATATTATATTGGGATGTCACACGGGCTAATTAATCAAAATTACTTGCAACATTTGATGCGAAATTTAAAAAGCGACTTAAATAATTGATAATTTGATAGCAACATCAGTTGATTTTAATTTCGGTACTGTAATAAATTTGTAATCATGATAAGTTGTCATGCTTATTTTTTTTTCGTTATTTGCAATACTTTACCCAATAAACGAATCTAATATTATCAATGTTTACCTCAATGCATTCAAAGAATTGCTTTCCAAGTATCTTAGCAACAAATTGGCCAATGCACACGATGATTGTTGTTTTTGTATTAAGGTTTACAAGATCCAGAAAATGCAAATACAACGATCAAAAACACTCCTCTGTATGATATACAAATCCGGTATTATTAGAATTGCATCTGTTGAGGTTTGATAAGTTTTAGTACTTATTTAACGCTCATAAGTTTTCGAGAGGTGTCTATTATGCAATCTTCTTCACATGTAGGTAATATTAATACGCGTGTGACAAAATCATTGTAAAAAAAATGAAATTACTATGTGGAAATAAATCATAATATAAAAAATTTTGTGCAATGCACTGTGTTATGAATAAGCCATATCTTAAGATGAATTAAATTCTAAAATAACATACTTGATGAAATAATAGCAACTTGGGTACATTTTAGTCCTGTTCTAACCTATGTTTATTTGGAGTGAATTCTAACCCCACAATAATTCTATTCCGATGTACAACATATACAATAAATGTGTAATCTATGGACGTAAAAATAGTTAAATAAATAAATTGTCAGGATAAAACACGAATTTTTTACTATTTTCTTTTTCTTATCTCACTTTTTCATTCTCTGAAAATATTTTATC